ACTGTCCTAATTCTCACTAAATCCATCCTAGACCCTGAGCTCCATGGGGCTGGAGCTCTGCTCACACTCCCAGCTCCCCCACAGTACCCGTCACAGAAGGGAGGTCCAGTACATACGTGGGCATTCACATGTCCCCACGTCATCTCCTAATTCATCTAACATGTCTGCCCATCTGTGGACACCCCAGGGCAGGTTACACTCACTGGGTCTAAAGGAGGCTCAACTGAGTCCCCATGTAGTACAAATGTATGATTCATGGTGACACAGGCACTATTGCAGAACAGGTCCTTGATAAGAGGGATCACAGCTGGTTGTTGACCACCGGGCACCACTAACAAGTCAGAAACCTTATGACACAGGACATCCATATAGACCCACATTTAGAGATTACCATTGTGAACAGTTCATTGCTGGATATATGGTTATGGTGACACAAAGGACAGGGAACAGAGTGGGTGTGCTAGTCACTCCTCATTTCTCAGTGTCCAGCCCAAATGTAGAGTCAGACATTTGTGAGCTAAAGTTATGGGAAAGACATGAAGTAGGACTGAGACAGGACCCACAACTGAAGTGTGTTTAGGAGAAATATTTAAATACAGCAAAGGCATATGAGCTGAGTGTACTTAAGAACTTGGATAAAGAGTAGAGAATAATTCAGTATTACTCTCAGTACAAACATTTAAAATATTGTTTTCTTACTCTATATCCACTGACATTCTCTAAAAGTTTCAACTAATTAGATTGTAAAATTAAAGATCTAGCTGCAAAACATGAACATATGCTGAACAAAGCTGCTATACTGGAATTTTTGCAATTAAAAATACTTTAAATGCTGCAAGGTGCCCTCACCATGGGTCTTCATAACCTAATCTTTTCTTTGAGCAAAACACTGATTTTAGGTGTCAGCCTTTCATCCCAAAGTCTTTGATGCAAGGAAAGGAATCGTGATAGTGCGTCTTCATCATGCAGCCTGTGTGGCTCAGCGTTACCACAAGGGAATCGGTCACTTGCAGAGTCCTGCACCAGGACACCAGGTGGGATGAGCCTAACTTGGCATCACAAGAAGAAGTGACACTTTCTTGTTGCAAAATGAGGCTAACGACGTGGGAGTCATTTTAAAGCCATTCAACTGAAGAGAACTGGAAAAAAAACATGTGTTGACATGTTAATGCCTTTTCACATTGATTTGAATAGTCTGTGAGGTTACATCACTGTGACCCACTCATCTATCCAGCAAGTATCCTGAAACTCAGAATGATGGGACCTGATTCCGAGGTTCCTCATAAACCAGGTGTCCTCCCATCCCAGACCAATGCCATGTGAGTCAGAGGGAATCCATGAGCTCAGGACCAAGTAAGGCATGAGGTGACTGGCCCCACATGCTCCCCACTTATACGGACCAGGCTGCCCCACATGCAAATTTCTCTGCAGGCTCCAGGGTAAAACCCTCCTGGGGCTGTGAGCTCACAGCTCTCTCCTCACACAGGGCTGAGGTCTCTGGGGAAGGCAGAGCTGTGGTCTAGAAGAAGATGAGGCTGCTGGGTCTTCTCCTGTGTCTGGTGACAGCTCCCCAAGGTGAGGGGCTCAGGTGTCAGACACGGGTCTATGGGGTGGCTGTGACTGCATGTGAGTGACAGAGATTGATTGTCCTTGTCCACAGGTGTCCTGTCCCAGGTGCAGCTGCAGGAGTCGGGGCCAGGACTGGTGAAGCCCTCGCAGACCCTGTCCCTCACCTGCACAGTCTCTGGTTACTCCATCACAACGAGTTATTCCTACTGGAGCTGGATCCGGCAGCCCCCGGGGAAGGGGCTGGAGTGGATCGGGCTCATTGCTTATGAAGGGAGCACATACTATAGCCCGTCCCTCAAGAGCCGCACCTCCATCTCCAGAGACACGTCCAAGAACCAGTTCTCCCTGCAGCTGAGCTCTGTGACCTCCGAGGACACGGCCGTGTATTACTGTGCGAGGGACACAGTGAGGGGAAGTCAGTGTGAGCCCAGACACAAACCTTGGAGGTGGGGGCGAGGGCAGGGCTGCATGGGGTGCTCGGGACACCAGGGGGCACTCAGGACACACTGAGCACAGGGACCAGCCCCAGGAGCAGGTGTGGACCTGGGTGGGGAAGGGACTCCCTTTGGGAACAGAGGTTTCCTGTGAAATTTCTCAGCTGTTCTCAGGACCAAGTCTTGAATCACTTCTGACCCTAATGTCTCCTATTCTCAGCAGCCAACAAAGTGGAAACAGTGTTTACAATGATGTATCACCAGTGACTGGGGACCTGGAGACCATCCTGACGGCTCTTGTCTCCTCTGTGGTTGGGAAACATTTCCCGCAATGAGAGACCCCAGCACAGTCCAGGCCCCTGTGTGCTGAGCAGGCTCCCTGCCCCCCACAGTCCCACAGGGAATCATTTTGATTGTAGAATTTAAAAAGTAGCTTTAAAAAGTGAACATATATTGAACCAAGCAGCTATACTCCAATTTTTGCAATTAAAAATATTGTAAATGCTGTAATGGGTCTCATCAGTTGTCTCACATCCTACCCTGTTCTTTGAGCAAAACACTGACCTTATATGTGAATCATTGCTCCAAAAACTTTGAGGGAGTGGAAAAAATCTTGATAATGTCCCTGCCTCATGCAGCCTGTGTGGCTCAGCATGAGCACTAGGGAAACGGTCACTTCCACAGTCCTGCACCAGGACACCTGATGGGAGGAGCCCAGCTTGGTATCACAAGAAGAAGAGACACTTTCTTGTTGCAGAATGAGGCTAAAGATGTGGGAGTCATTTTAAAGCCATTCAACTGAAGAGAACTGGAAAACAGGATTTGTGCATTACTGAGAGAATGCTGTGCTCTCAGGGTCACTAAATTCTTAAACTTTAACAAGGGTTCCTCACACTGATTTTGCACAAGGTCCTGACATGGCACAGTGGGTCTGCTGGTGACTTTAGCTTTAGACCCATGTAGAGGTCTTTGCTGTGAAGCCTTGGCATACTCAGGAAGATGTCCATTCAGAGGGGTCGATGCAGGTGGGTGTGATCAGAGGTGATGAGATTTTCCGTTTAGGGAACCCCGTGTGTTTGGATTTCTCCCTGGGTTTCCTGGTCAGATAGACTAAGGAGCATGTGAGCTTCCCACAGAAGTGGATTCCTCGTTACCCTGAAGAACATTTCTGTGTCCACTCCTCATGGGGACGGCCCAGCATCTGTAACCCAAGGTGAACACGGTTAATTTACTCTACAGTGTAGTCTGTTCCACCTGTTAGATCTATTTTTATAGAAACCAGCCTTCTCTAGTCCACCCCTTTGTGTCCTGGATAAATATGGGTTTACCTACTTTATCAAATAGAATGAATCATGGGAGAAGGGAAGAGAATTCACACACTAGACCCACGAGTTTATAGGAGCCTCTGCCCAGCACACAGGGATACAGCCTCCAGCCCCACCCACATGCCCACAGCAAGTCTGAGCCCAAGCTGACAAGCAGAGGGGAGCTGAACCCGGAGTCTGGAGGGGAATTTGGGTGCTGGTACCTGGTGTGCTCAGGGGTCTGAACAGGAGCTTCTGGGGGTACGACTCTGTTTCCCACGCCTGTCTCCATGATTCATGGTAGAGGACAGAGGATGCATGGTTTTCCCACATAAAATGGGGACAGAACAGGGCAAGGGCTGCTGCTGGGAATGCAGAAAGGCGCCTCCTGCATTGGGTGTGTTCATGCATTTATCACCTTATCTACTTTATCATGTTTCAATTCTTTACGGACCTTTCTGGCTGGGGAGATAGAAACACATCAATGGAAAAAGATACCTGTGAACTTAAATAAGTCTCTAGTTAACCAGACATGACCCAGAAAGCACAGGCTGAAAAAATTAATACAGTGATGTCCATCCAAATTTTTAATTAGTCTAAGATTTGAAAGATTCCTTTAGGAAAATTCACTTAAAGTGAGAAAATATAAGAATATAATTAAACCTTATGTATCTTGTAAAGCTGTTGAAATAGAGAATATATCAAGCATTTACTACACAATAATAATAAGACAATTCACTATTATAAAACCTTCAACATCAAGAATCAGGCATCTCTGAGCCTCCCTATACGTTGGAGGTAGTTACTCAGATAAAAGTAATGTCATAATTACTTAAAGTAAAAGAAATGGGAGCCTATGAAGGCAAGTCCTCCACGTGGGATTATGTTTCCAGCAAAGCTGACATCCAAAGTTGTTTATAGTCATGCAACACTTAGGATGGAATAATGCATTTTTGGCAGATTTATCACTATGAGAATATCACAGGGTGCACTCACACAGCCCAGATGGTACAGCCTGCTACTGTGACCGCATGTGCTGTGACTTTATGCAACTGGCAGTGTGGAGGTTTGTTTGCACCAGCATCAGCACGCACCTGAGCAAGGTGTGGTGCTGACATTACAACAGCTATGACTTCACGAGGTGACAGGAATTTCATCTCCATTACAACCTTATGGGATGGCCATCGTATATGTGGAGCGTTATGTGGCACCTGACTGCACGTGAAATTATGATCATGAACTTTGTCAATGGGGGCGATGTTCAATGGGATTTTTTAGATAATAAAACGTGTGTGGACAAAATGTTAATCCTGTTTATTAGCAACTAGAAAGCTCCATGAAATTGAAATACTCATGATGGACTCGCCTTGTCGAGCACTGATCCTGACCATCGGAGAGAAGGGCCAGGCTCTGTCTCACCTGGAAACTCACCTGCCTGGTCTTGAGCAGCACTTTTCAGGGAGCGAGCTGCCCTCCCTGCAGAGACTGCTCATCGTTTATAACCCAGGATTGCCACTCTTCTCTGTAAACACAGGACGACGACTTTCCTCATTAAAAGCCTAGAAAAAAACAATGGGGCATATTCTTGGGAGAGTGGGCTATGCGATGAATTTTGAGATAATACTGAAAAGTGAAATCCATTAACTAAAATATTCATAAATGGAACATTGTTGAAGGTAAACATTTGTGTCCCACTTAGACACTGTTCAAGGAATGAAAAGATGAGAAGAGGCTGCTGAAAATAGTTTCAAATAGTATCTTGTAAAGTGCTGTCTCCTGAGTATAAAGAACTTCACATGTTGTGCAGAAGCCGAGGACCCTGTTGACCACAGGGCCCAGCTCAGGGGTGGGGGCAGGGGGGGTGAAGGGGGGAGAGGGTTCTTTTTGAGGTCACAGTGTCCTTTCCCCTGAGAAAAACCTATGCTCAGGCCCCTCCCCAACCTCCTACTTCTGAACACCCATTAACTGTTAATACCAGACTCTGATAAAACAGGTCAGTTATGCTCTGCACATATCATTTCAATATTTGTCAGGTGTGGGGTTACAGAGATGCTTAGTGGCTGTTTCTATTTTCGTATCTTCTCCATACACACGTGTGAGTCTGTCTGATGTAATTGGTGAGGGTTCCTGGGACATGCCTTAGGGTGGCTTAAGGAAAGTATTTGCACAGAGAGCCTTAGACACAAATTTAAGCCCCATGCAGTAAGAATGAAGGGTCTCCAAGCCTGCCTGTGCTTTTTGGTTGCTCCTACAAAAGGGGTAGTTCTTGGGAAAAACAGTCTTACTTTTTGGTACCATGTTTAGAGCAAATGTGAAATCAACATATTAATTGACATGAAATTATCATTATAACATCTTGTCCATCAAGGATATTTTCATGTTTGAGGTTATAGTGGATATTTTGACCTAAACTAATCCTTTGTACTATCTACTTGAAAATCCATGAGATTACACATTCACTCTTATTCTCAGAAAGGTGGGACTTCTTAGGCCTGTTTGTAATGTGCCTCATGAACCAAGGGCCTCCCATCCCAGACTCACACAGTCTCTGTGTGCAAGTGAAGACACACGGAGGAGGCTCAGAAGGACCAGGGGAGCCTGACTCAGTCCCTCCCCACTTGTCAGGTCCAGGCTGCCCCACATGCAAATTTCTCTGCAGGCTCCAGGGTAAAACCCTCCTTGGGCTGTGAGCTCACAGCTCTCTCCTCACACAGGGCTGAGGTCTCTGGGGAAGGCAGAGCTGTGGTCTAGAAGAAAATGAGGCTGCTGGGTCTTCTCCTGTGCCTGGTGACAGCCCCCCAAGGTGAGGTCTAAGATGTCAGACATGGTCTGTGGGATGGCTATGTGTGCTCATAAGTGACACTGATTCTCCTTGTCCCCAGGTGTCCTGTCCCAGGTGCAGCTGCAGGAGTCGGGCCCAGGACTGGTGAAGCCCTCGCAGACCCTGTCCCTCACCTGCACTGTTTTGCGGGGCTCTGTCACCAGCAGTTACTGGTAGAATTGTATCCGCCAGCGCCCTGGTTAAGGGTTGGAGTGGATGGGCCTTTGGACAGGTGGCACAAGCTACAACCCAGCATTCCAGGGCCGAATCTCTATCACGGCTGACACATCAAGGAACCAGTTCTCCCTGCAGCTGAGCTCTGTGACCTCCGAGGACACGGCCGTGTATTACTGTGCGAGGGACACAGTGAGGGGAAGTCAGTGTGGCCCAGAAACAAACCTCCCTGAGGGGACAGGAGGTCTGGGCTGCAGGGGGTGCTCGGGACACCAGAGGGCGCTCAGGACACACTGAGCACAGGGACCAGCTCCAGGAGCAGATAGGGACCCAGGTGGGGAAGGGACTTCCTTTGGGAAGAGAGGTTTCCTGTAAAATTTCTCAGCTGCCCCCAGGGACAAGTTTGAACCACCTATGTGTTCTAATTTCTCCTATTCTCAACAGCCACACACAAGGGGTAAACACTATTTCTAATAATACATCAACAGTGACTTGGATTCTTTCTTTGACTCACTTCCTGTGTGTCCTGTTTTTATTTCTCAACTGAGACCATCCTGAGGGTTCTCATGTTCCCAGTGGTTGGGAAACATTTCCCACAGAGAGACACCAGCACAGTCCCTCCCCCTTTGTGCTGAGCTCAGGCTCTCTGCCCCCACATGCCCACAGGGTCCCCACAAGGCTCTTCCCACAGGCACACGTGGCCCCACGGGATTATGTTCAGCCCCCAAGACCTCCACCCCCATGGTCTCCGTCCTCCCTACAGCATCACAATGTTAACCTCTCAGTCCTCATTTACTCAAGTGTACATTTGAAACCCACCCAACATCACCTTCTGTCACCTACTATCCTAATTCTCACTAAATCTGTCCTAGACGCTGAGCTCCATGGGGCTAGAGCTCTGCTCACACTCCCAGTTCCCCCACAGTACCCGTCACAGAAGGGAGGTCCAGTACATACGTGGGCATTCA